CATGGCAGAGTCTACTAAAGTTACATAGGGGTGAAAGGGTTAAAATTAAGATACTGCAATGAAGCATATTTGTATCCAAATGTCACAATAGGCAAAGAACATACCATTATTATGTGTTATGCCTACAGTGCATTAGTTACTGAAGTGCCCTTGGGTTTGGTAACCAGTGTGTTTTACTGAGGGTATGGAGTGGGATCTGGCTATCTAAGACGAGGATAATACAGACAATTATATAGCATATGAGGTGGAACTTAAGAAGGGATTTAACCAATCATTGACTAATTCTGATTTTAACATTAAATCTATTTTAAAGGTATCAACGAAGGACACATTTGACACCCTATCTGCGTTGGACATAGCAGAGCAGCTCACCTACCTCGACCATAAGATATACATAGGCATTAGGAGCGAGTAAGTATACCAGCTTGTCTACAAGATGTATATTATTATAAATAATAGGAGTTATGTACACAGGATACTGCACTTAATTCACATTTCAATGGTAGCCTGAAAACTATTCATGTATGCAACAAAACAGCAATTTTGATGTTCAACATAAGGGTACAATGTGTGACACAAATATTTTAGTAAGTGAGGTCTATAATGCCCAGAGTGACTTTGTTAAACAATGTTATATATTGACTGACTTTGTTAACACAGAGAACTGCTGGGTCAGGCGTGGATGAAGCCAGACAAGTCCCATAAAGCCCCACATGTCCTACTAGTCAGCAAACGCTTCAACGAGGTCAGTAAAGGTCATGTTCACTATTATTCCAGGTCAGCTTCAGTGATGTTAGAAGGTCAAGGTCAATGTTCTCCACTAACAAGATTGCTCTTGATCTGCATGAGGAAAGATAATAAATAAATAATTTTGAAATTGGTTTCATATCAGCTAAAATCTGAGATTCAAATTAATCTAACTTAAAATGAAATTAAGAATTGAATATGAAAAAACTATCTTGGTGTTTAATTTGTATGTATGCGTTGCTAGGTGAGCCGTCTGGTTGTGTCGGAGATCGTGGGCAGACAGAACCTACAAGATCGTGTGTCTTGTATAGAGAAATGGGCAGCCATCGCTGATATCTGTCGCTGTATGCACAACTACAACGGTGTGCTCCAGATCTGTGCTGCCTTCGTCAACAGCTCGGTCTACAGACTCAAAAAGACGTGGGAAAAACTCTCCAAACAGGTCATTGTTATTGAATCTGTGAAAACTTGAAACTCTAGTTGTCAAATTTTATATACAAATACCATAGGGGATGGTCAATACTCAGGTCTTGTGTCCAAACATATACAGAGGTATGGCCCTTTCTTCATTTTTTCGATACTGAAGTTTGTTGGAACTATGGATTGCTAACAATATTTAACCTGATTTTAAATGATACAGTAAAGAAAACACTTTGAAAGAAGATAACAAAAAAATCAGTGTCAGTTTTCAGCAACAAGTTTAAATGTTCATCATTGAAGAAAACTGAAAGGTTTTTTTCTGTTAAAAATAAATGTTTAAATAAAATCATTTATAAATCTTAAACATCTTAATATGAGAAATAGTGAAGAATTATATGAAAGGAAAGCTGTTGAAAGCTTCTATCAATTTCTTTATTTTTTAATAATGACTCTTGCACCTTTTTTCAGACAAAACAGATGATAGAACGCCTACAGGTGCTGGTGTCATCCGATGGGCGCTTTAAGAACATGAGGGATGCCCTCCACAGGTACACCTATGGGGACTCCTTAGCCGATATGTACGAGCATTGTCACATTTGTCTTCTAGCACCTCCTGTCTGTGTCACTTCTCACAAGGAATGGTAGCTTGGCATGTGTGCCCCCTCCCTGTACATCCCCACTTTTCCACTTGGCAATATCAGACTCGTTTAGTGGTTCTACAGGGCCCATTTACTCCAACCATAGAGTTTTTACCTCTCCTGAATCATCTTCTAATTCATTGCATTTTATAACTCACCAATAGAGTCATCACATTTTTTGACTCACCAAAGTATAGTGCCTAATGTCTTTTAACTCACCAAAGAATCACGTCTTTTGACTCTCTAACATAGGACTGAATCATCTCACTTGACCTAACAATTTATGTTGTATCCCCTTTAATGATTCTCCAATATAGGGTCTATCACCTTTCCTGACTCTGGAATATAGTCAGTTACCTCTCTTGACTCGCATAGTGCATCATGTCTTCACTCACCTGTCTATCACCGTCACATCTTTTGACTAACCAACTTTATTGGAACCTTCCTTTCTGTATCTGTGCCGCAAGTCTGTTGTGACCTTAGTTCTATAGCGTTTGTGTTACTGGAGAGTCCCTTGACCCTGTCACACTGTTTAATTACAAGCACCTGCCCATCTCCCGCCACTTAGAGGTAGACAGTAGCTGTGACCCTCCCTCAATGCCTAGTGTTCTTAGTCTGTAGAAAACTGCACAAGTTTAGTTCCATTGTAGCATCAATTATTTTTATTCCATGATTGATTTTTGCAGAAATATCAATAAGTATGTTTTATAATATATATAGACACATGTCAAATTCTAGTTTTATGCAAAATGCACTTGAATTATTTTTATTTAAACACATTTGTTTTGCAATTTTTGCAAATAATTAATTTGTTTTGGCACCATTTTAATGAATGATGAAAAATATGTTTATGAATCTATAAAGATATTGAAGGTGAATTGATGTTTGCTAAACTGAATCTTTATGTGTATATCTATAAAGGGAAACAACTGACTTGATAAACTGTGTGATGTAGACAGAAAAGCCACAATTAAATAATCACAGGCTACGTACATATGAACAACTATTTCACCAGACTGAAATATCTATCAGATATATAATGATAAATAATGAATAAACATACAAGCAGATGGATACTTGAAAATACATTTAGTTGATCACATGTGTTGACAACAGTCTTGGGCCAAATTAAAGGTATTTTTCCCCTCTATAGTTCATGCATAATTCTACCTTTTTGTTTTGTTTTTCTGAAGTCAGTAGAGCTGCTATTGAAATGAC